AGTACAATGTTGAGGTACTTCATACTTCACTACATTTCAGAGGCACTACATGTATTTGGTACCTTTGGTTCCTTTTGAGTCATACAATACTTTGTTTTAAATCGATCTGAGAAAACTTTTCATCAGTCCATCACTTATATTTCTAAACACCAGAGTCACTCATGAGGATGTTGGCTGTAACAAAATCATCCAGCCTAGTTAGAATTTTCAGACATGATCACATCCACATCATAACTTCCTCAAATTTTAACTAAAGCAACACACACAACAGCACATGACGCTGGAATGTGTGTATGTTGTACTGTTTACATTCTGTTTGCACACTGACTGTTGACTTGCTCCTTCATTAGTCCTAATGTTTTAATCATTACCTCATAACAATGGCTCCACCTTTACCAGCTACAACATTAAAGTGATACACTTAATGTGAAATGTGCCAGTGCATAATGACAGCTTTTACTTTTGAGAATTCAAGTATATTTTGATACTAATACTTTTGTACATTTACTTAAGTAACATTTTGAATGCAGGACATTTACCTGAAGCAGAGTATTTTTACACTGTGGTACTATTTTTACTTAAGTAAAGGATCTGAGTACTTCTTCCACCACAGTAACCATGAAGCTAGCACCATCAGCTGTCCTTATGCTAAGCTAAGCTAACTAGCTGCTGTTTGTAACGTCACAGTTAACAGGGAGACACAGTGGCATCGATCTTCTCATCAACTCTAAGCACTGTTATGGTGGAAACCAAAACCAGCGAGCTTGGAGGTGGATCTGGGCGAGGGAGAAAGAGATGCACCAGAACTGGATCTGGTGAATATGCACAGGTAAGAACAGATGTGTTAATTATGAAACTCCATTTGTGTTTGTTAATATCCAATATCACTGACAGCGTAGGCGGCTGCTCCACTTGTCTTTCATAACAGGGGCTGACTAGGACTGAGTGTTATCACATTAGATAATGTTATATAGCAGGTGAAATGAGGCCAAGCTGCGTGGGGCCTGATGATGCCGCACTGGTGCAGAGGAAGTTTCTTGTAAGCCATAATGAAGAACCTATGAACAAAGCTTCTGATAACAACACAGTGCTGTAATCAAAGCTCAGAGGGGGTGGAAGCACAAGGGAGATGAGCTGCAGCACCTCTGACAGCTGACGCTCAGGTGATCGATGACTATATACGTGACTATGTTTTGGCAGCAGCCAACGGCCTCCTCCCCTCCCCTGGGGTCTGGTACACGGTGTATTTTAAGCTCCTGCGGGGCACTTTACATAACAGCCTCTGCCCGTCAGCATTGACTAACACCTCCCAGCTCATCTGTCTGACTCCCTGTGGCTGTTTCTGTAAAGCTGGTCAGCTGGCGTAAACAGGCCCACAGTGAGTCTGGTCTCTAACGCCCACTTAGCAAGAACACGGCACAGATATTTATATCCATCTTGCTGCCCACTGCTGCTGCAGATAGCATCCACCCCAGAGCTAATGAATTATGAAGCAGGATGGTCGGGTCTGCAGCAAGGAGCCCTGATTAGCAGTTGTACACAGACACGACTCTGTTCTTTAATATTACATTAGTATTATGCAGTGGACTGTGCATCTGAATGGGCCCATGACCTTCAGTTTGCTCCTTTGTTGGACTAATTTTTCATTTTTATCATTTGTCTTTAGTCTGATGTTTTTCAGTATCGGCACAGAACTTTACCAGAACAATGCTATTTGTTTATTTGCCCTGTCTTTGGTTTAGAAAGTGCTTTATAAATCA